GATTGGCTTGATTTATGGGGTTGATTAAATGAGAATCTGCAGGATATTGGCTTCCCATCGATGTTTAGACTCAACCATCGCTGGTAAGCCAATTTTCCTTCAGTTTTGAAGCCAACGGTCACCTACCCATCGATGGGTACAAGCTTCCCATCGCTGGGTGGGAGGTTGACTTCCAAACAAGGAAAGAATCAACCTTAAATGACTTTCAACGGTCATGCCTTCCCATCGATGGTTTAACCTTACCATCGCTGGGTTCCCATCGATGGGATAGGTTTCCCATCGCTGGGTAAGGTTGTTCTGCCTTGTGTTAATTTTGCACCAAGGCTTTAACAGCGATGGGTAGAACTCCCCGTCGCTGTTTGGCATGGTTCTGGAAGTTGGTTTGGCTTAGGGACCGCTTACCCATCGATGGGAAGATCTTCCCATCGCTGGGTGGGTGGTTAGCCAAAAGCCCATAGTCTTTGCCTTAACCACGGCCTAGCCAACCGATGCAAAACCAACCGAAAAATCCAAAGTTCTCCAAAATAAAAACCAAGTGTTTGAATCACTTATTTGATGTATTTGGCTAAGAAATCAAGTGAGTTACTTTAAAAACCACGTCATTTGAGTAAAAACCACGGCTAGCCAAGTTTATGCCGTTTTGAATGATTTTTGTCAAACGAGCAAAAGCGAACGATGGTTTTCAAAGTGTTTTTGTTGGAGAACCGTTTAAACATGCCAAAGAGTGAAAACCAATCACAAAAATTTGAAAACCACTCGGTTGGTTCGGACGCCAAAAACCAAAGCCGATAACCGAGAGCCGAACGCCGGTTTCTGAAGCCCGAACGCTGGATTGCTTGGTTTTTGGTTTGGGCGAACACCAAGTGTTTTTAATGACTTAAACAATAGTTAATCAACAGTCGTCTGATACTATTTTTGGCATAGTGAATTGATTTAGAGATAAAAAATGAAACTTATTTATTAATTGATTTTTTAGAGAATTGAAATTTTTATTACAAATGAAATAATATTATCTTAAAATTATCTTATTTATTACTCCCTCCATCCACAAATAAACTTCCCATTGTGTGTTACGATGTTTGACTGAGTTTTTTTAAAATCATTTTATATGAAAAATGGTGTAAAATTTAAAAATAAAAATTACATATTAAAAAATTATATCAAAAGATCTACAAAACTAGAAGTGACATGACTATATTATTTTATCAAATGGGTGACGAAAATAGGCCAACAAAGTGAATAAAGTTTGACCATGTGAATAGTGAACGAGAAGTTTATTTGTGGACGGAGGGAGTAGTTAAAAGATTTTTTTTTATAAATGAAAAGAGTTAAAAATACTATATTGAATTGGAAATTAAAGAAAATTATCATAAAAAAGAATTTTTCTTTTCCATAATTAAGCTTATTCAAAGATTCCATACCAATTCATTGAATTTGCATTTTATATATCTTAAATTAGGTGACATATTAGGTGTCAAAACAAATATTCTATAAAAATTTTTAATAGGTGAAGAAGACATTTTATTTAATAGGTATTAAAATATGTATAAATATAATCAAACGAATATAATGTAAACATATAATGAAAAAATATATAATTTATGTATAGGTGAGGAGTGTATTTTATTTATTATTATAAAGGGTTTTTTTATATTTTATGATTTACGAAATTCGAGACGGGTATTGAAAATATTTTTACGTAGAGTTGTGAAAAAATAATATGGTATTAAAGATAATAAATTTTAGGGAGAATGATTTTAATTCGAAATTTCGAGTTATGAGTTTAGAATAAGTAATTATCATTCTCGGAAAAAAGTAAAAAAAAAGTTAAATAGTTGAAGAGTGTAAAATTGGTTAATATACTGCCACTTAATATGCCGCATGTGAAGTCCTTAAGATGCGACATGTCAAGTTTTTAATTTGCCACATGTCAAGTTCTTAAGAATTGAACTCTCAAATTTATATATATAAAGGAAATGATATATACCCCGTGAGATTAATGAAACATCCTCAAGTTCCATTCACAAATTTTACATGGTCTCATAGCAAAAGTCTCTGTGTTTTTGTTGCACCCTCCGATTATGTTGTGGAGTAAATACACAAGAGGTTTGAATGCACACACCCATCTCATCATAAAATTGACAAAGCGGGGTATTGAGAAATTCAGTCTAATTTTCTGAACAGAACGCGCTTTGATAATCTTGGAATGTTGTGTATTAATCATGGCAAAAAACTGTTTTAGACACGAAGTTATCTCACTTTTAGTTTTAATAAGGTAGACCCAAAAAAAGGGGAATAATCATCAACAATAATAAGAAAGTAATGTGCACCAAAAGACATTCATGTAAGATAAGGCCCCCAGAAATCGCAATGAAATAAATCAAACACACCATCAGCTTTATTAGAATTAATGAGAAAGGTCGAACGAGTTTGTTTAGACAAAAAAATTCACAAGACTTCAATTGTTGGACAATAGACTTATTTTTATTTGAACCAAGAAGAGATAAACATCTGATGACGGATCACTCAGATGTTGATGAAGAGTAACTAGCATCACTCCCGTGCGTTGCACGGGTCATACTTATATTACTAAAATAAGATCATTTCTGAAGGTTACAATTTCTTATCTAATACTCCATTCGTCTCTGAAACATTTTCCCCTTTCATTTTTCCTTTATCCCACAAACTCCTTCCTTTTTCTATTAAAATTACTTTTACCCTTACTTTTTCATACCCTAGCTATCACATCATCCCTTTTTACTAATAATCTATCTATCACATCTTACTTTTATCAATCACATCAAGGGTATTTTTGGAAAGTCAACACCAAAATATCTCTCCCTTAATTTTCCAAAAAGTCAATAACGGAACTTCTTCGGGACGAAGGGAGTAGAATATAAATATTTTATTATTTTAAGGTACAAAAGTTAATTGCTTTACAAATAACGAAAGATTTCTTTATAAACTACATTACTCGTATAATTTTTATATATCAAACTTTTAAAAATTTATTTATTTAAAGACTTATTCATGATTTTCTACTCCGAAAGCATGAATCTTATTTAAGAACTTAAGAGAGTGTAAGTCATTCAAAAAATTTGAAAGAGGCTAATCACGAAAAGTGATTGAGAATGACTGTATTTAAAGTATGAAAAAATTAAAGTATTTTTCTATTTCCATGCATCTAATTTTTTCTGGGTAAATTATCAATTAGTGGTTGATTGTTCAACATATAAAGGTATATATTATTCAATATGTTTCCATGTATTAAAGGCACACCTCTTAAAAACGATGTCTCCATAAAACGTTTGGACCTGGATCTCTAAATGGAAACATTATTTAATTGAAAGCTTATTTGGTTAGAATTATTACACGATATTAATAACTAAGTACGATAATATTATTACACAGTATATTATTATTATTATTATTTTTTTTCATGACAATAAATTAATAATGATTAAATACATTAATATTATTGCACGATATATTAGTATTATTATTTTTTCTACATGGTAATACATAATTTATTCTTGCTACAAAGTAATTTATGATTTAATTATTATTTCTATATTCAACACTTAACATATGTGCCACCATTTCTATGTATTACTTTGACATTTTTTATATTTAATTTATTTTATTATTTTTTATTTTTATTTTTTTAATTGTGCCTTCCTTAAATGCATAAACTTATATATTTAAATTTCTTCATAAAATATTTGGCACCGAATCTCTAAATGGAAACATAATTAAATTGAAAGCTTATTTTCTTAACAAAATGGTTTGTATGATTAAAATGGTTTGTCTCTTAATTGGAAATTATATAAATTACGAAACTGTAAATTTAATGCATTGATTAAAAAATTTACACCTTAACGTGATTATTACCTTTTATGGACAAATATTATTTTTAGTTGAATGGTAATCATTTTTTTATTATATCAATTCCAATTTTATAAAAAAGTTGGTATTAGAAAAGAAGTTTATATAAATAATATTTTTTATATTTTGTTTCCTTTTTAGAAATATATTACGCATGCAAAATTTCCTTTAATTTATCATTCTAAATAAGAATAGAGTAATTAAGTAATTATGCATGTGAAATTATTCTAAAAAGGAAACAACGTAGATCTTGTTTGAGAAATTAGTCCCTTCCTTTTTTTATCACAATTAAGTAATTATGCATGCAAAATTTCCTTTAATTTATCATTCTATTATTCTTAAAAGTATTTTTCTTTTAAGAATAGAGTGATTAAGTAAATAATTACCTATTTAATTAGGCATAAATAATTACTTTTTGATAAAATAATCAGGCATAAATTATTCCAAATAATTATAATAATAATAGTAATAATTAGGCGTAAATAATTACCTATTTAAAAAGGAAACAAAATATAAAAAATCTCTCGCAGTGTCCCTTCTTATTTTCGTATGGGTAGCTTTCCTATTTTCGTAAAAGGAAACGAAATAAACATTCGAATTATTGCAAAATAAGTATAATTGGTAGCTTTCCTTTTTTTTTCCTTCAAATCAATAATAAATATACGAATTTTATACTTTGTATTTATTTAATATATGCACGGGATTTGCTTTTTTGTAATCACTTAATTCATTAAATACCTTTCTTTTGTTTCCCTTTTTAAGAATA